TTGGCATCTCTGGCTCTGTGCCCTCACCCTTGTCTCGAGGTCCTGGCAACTTCCACCTCTCACATGCCCCTGTGACTCCAACCCACCCTTGCGGTCCTTTGGCTATGCCTTGGCCAACCTTACCTCATACTAAAAAGCGGCAGGCATGTGGCAGGGCTCCAGGGTTGAGCACTCTGTCTAGCAGGTGCAGAGGCCCTGGGCTGCGTTCCTAGCCTGGCAAGCCAACGTGAAACAGCAAATAAAGCTTGTCCTTTAACTGCTTGTCTCGGGGCACACCTGCTAAGCCTTGGTGTCCCCGCGCTCTAAGTGGGGAAGCTGAGGTACAGGAACACTGACATTGATTCTCTCAGCTGTACACACACACACACACACACACACACACACACACACACACACACACACACACAGCTGCACCTTTGGGGACAAGGGATATAAAAGCCTGGTGACCGTGAGGAACGTGCAGGGATACAGACCAGAAGTGAAAATGATTCTCGTGCCGTGACTCCGCGCCTGGGATGGGGGCGCCTCAGCTCCGGCCAGCCTGAACAGATGGCCCAGATGGTCCCAGGTGGCCACTGTCGAGGGAAGCGTGGGCCCCGGGTGGCCAGATTCCCCCGACTCCCCAGAGAAGCTGGCAGTTTGGCACTCTCCTGGTTTCAAAGTCCTGGCTCCCTCTAGATGCACATATTTACATATTCCGGTCCTTTCTGGGGTGTCATTTACATACCACAGTCAAATGTGCAAATCCGGAGTGTCTGGCTTGATGGATTCTGACAGCTCCAATATTTTTTAAACACTGGAGTGTCCAAGAAAATAGGATCGCAGGGCGGCTCCCGCCCACCCTTCACGGCCTTCTCGGCGGTCACGTGCCGCGCACAATCTCATGAGCTGGGGGGGGGGGGGGGGGCGGGGGGCAGGACCCTCGAGCACACGCGGGCTTGTGCATGCCCAGCAGCACACGTGACAGCGGAGTAGAGCCTGGCCATGGGGAGATAGAGGTGACTTACCGCCCCTCGCTGCTCACAGCAAGGGCATGGGCTCTGGGGTCTGGTTGCGCGTTCCATTTCTGCCCCTTGCTGTGTGTCTTTTCCCTGTTTGCACTCCCTCTCTGAATGCTAGTTCTTGCTGTTGTGAACATGGGGAATATGGCGCTGACCTCCTAGGACTCTGGTCCAGGTTAAGGAGGTCCGTGTAACGAGGCCTTAGCTAAACTCGGGATGCCTGATAAAATTTATGAGACATGGTCTTTTCGTGTGTAGACTGTTTGTTTGTTTGTTTGTTTGTTTGTTTAATTAGGGTGGTTGGAGGTTGAAAGAGAATTAGAACCAGGACTTCGAGGCTCCCGCATATCCCAGCGCCCACTGTAAGCTTTTCACGGCAGTTGCTACGCTGATGAGCCCTCCCACGCTACGTGGCACTGAGTGGCACTCTTGACACTGTAGGTCAGGCAGGTGCGTGACAGCTGGAAAGCCCACCTCACGCTGCTGGAGGGCAGACAGTGTGGAAGCAAGCTGGCCATGGGTCTAGCACGCCCACTGTGGGAGCCGCCATCATCCACTCAGGTTGCTAGGGGGCCACGCAAGTTCCAGCCCCCCGTTCCCTGCCACACAACTAGTTCTGCGTCTAAAGTCACCCTCTGCCTTTAGTCCTCCTGGGTTGCTTCAGGCCGCTGTCTCAGCCTCTCTGGACCTCTCACACAGGGACCATCTCTCACCCAGGGCTGCCCCACGGAGCCTTTGGAGGCTCTGATGAGCTACTTTACCGCGAGAAGTCTTTGTGCGCTATAAAATTGCAAGGTGTTGCAAGGTATTATGATTATAATCCTATACAGAAAAACAATGTTCTGCATGGGGGGGGGGGAGATGGACGACAGAGGACTAGCCCGAAGCTGAGGCTGAGCAAGAAGTGGTGGTTGTCTGTGACTTGACCCTCCTGGGGTGAGGTGGTCACCTGGGGATGCAGGAGTGGCCACTTGAGCTGTTAAGGCGGCAGGGCCACCCGGCTCGTGCCAATCGTCACTGAGTCACGTTTGTCCAACCAATGGCACGAAAACAGGGCGACAAGTCTTGGATGCTTCTCAGCACCCTTGACAAGGACTCCTACTTCACCCTTGACCACAGACTAGCACAGCAGAGAAGCCATCCCCACCCCGCTCCCATCTAGACACAGCCCTGAGGAATTCCCGGCTCCTTCTCCCAGCCCAGGGCTGCTTTCCTTCTTTCCTTCTTTTTATTTCTCCTCTCTTCTCTTCTCTCTCTCGCTTTTTTTTTTATTACCCCCAAAGCGAAATTTATTTGTAAGGTACTAAAGGAAGCGTCCTGTCCCTTTTATGCCAGCAGCCCTCAGCAGAGAAGCGAAATCGTGTATTTCGCTGCTAAAAAAAGCCCCGACTTATACAATTTTAACAATAGAAAAATGATCTTTGCGCTCCAGTGCGTGGAGGCTTGGAGGAGAACCGGCGGTATTCAGGTGGCTGGCGCATTACAAATGAGCCGTTCGCCTTTGTTTTGAGTGACAGGCAATTTAAATGCAGTCTTATATGGAGGCCAGGGGATTTTTTTTTTCCACCCCAGAAGGGGAGTTGAGGGGGGGGAGTGTAAAAAAAGGTGGGAGGAGCAAGCGGCACCGAGGGACTCTGGCTCCCCCGCCCCCAGGAGCTGAGAAGTCCAGCTCGAGCTGTTTAATTAGGAAATCAGGAGTTCCTGGTCGGAGTAATTTGTGATTACAGCGTAGCTAATGGTGGCCACAGCCTAGCCTGCTGAGCTCCATGGGAGTGTACCTCGCTGGGTCCCCAGAGCCTGGCATAAACAAACTGGGGGCCACATTGTGTTGCCTGAAAAAGTGTTCTTAGCACCAGCATTTGAAAACATGGGTCCTCTGCTTTATCTTTAACCTGGGGCCAATAACTACGGCAATAAAATTTCCAGCGGTTCCTCCGGCCCCAGCCGGGGTCCTCCTGGGACCTGGTGTCAGTGATGGGAGGGGTGCAGAGGGATGCAGAAACAAGTGAAGACAGTTCAGTGGCTAAAAGAGCGCTTGCCGTGGAAGCATGAGGAGCCGGGTTCGAATCTCTAGCACCCATGTCAAATCCAGATGTGGAAGCATAGACTGGAGGAACTCCATTTGGCCAGATTTTTAACCCCCAGCAGGCAGGAGCCACATAGATGGTTGCAACAGGACCTCCCTCTCCTGAATTCACTGCCGGGGTCCTGCCCCATGTAAGTACCATACGATTGCTGCGTCTAACAGTGAACTTCTGTTGGGCGTGTGGCTGGCCTCTGATGTCTCTGTGTTGCCCATGTGCCCTCCAGATTGCTGCTGTCACAAGCCCAGTCTCGATACTTCCACCCTTCCCTGTGACCAGGCATGGCCATGACCCGGACACACAGCCTTCCTCCTGCCGAGCTCCCAGGTCAAGGCCTGTGGGTTAAGGGTGCTGGAATGGCCACTTCCAAGCGGTCAGTGGTGCATGGATGGTGGCGAGTGTGTGTATTGGACAGCTCAGCTCTCGGGGACATTATAGGAAGACAGCCAGAGACATTAAAGACACCACTACAAACCGGTGGGCACCGTGATGGGAAGGAGGGTGGGGGTCATGGGTGAGGCTGGAGTAGCTGTCAAGGACTCGGCCAGCCCTTGTCTCCACATCTGCTTTTACAATCTATGGGAACACTCTCGACCTCCCGCAGACCCCAGCCAGGACCGTGTTCAGCACAGACGCCCGGAAACTGGAGTGTCTGTTACATATATTCATATCGGATGGGTGGTGAATGGTGTCAATCCTTGTGGCTTCCGTGAACCATGTGTCAGCAAGGCAACAGCTTCGAGCAGCTGCAGGACCCTGGGGAGTCAAAATGACCATCCCCACCCCCTGCCGGGGCACCCTTCCGCTTGGAGTAGTCTGTCTTGGAAGGATGGCAATCCTCCTGTGTTGGGTGACTCCATTTTCGCATGCTTCTTCCCCTTTCCCTTCCCCAGCACACTTCCCTTCGCAGGGAGAGATGGGGATTCGCCAAGTCCCACCACCAAACTGGGTCAGCCTCCCCCTACTTCCACCCTCCGCCAGTCCCCCGGCTCCCCACCCCCCCCCACCCCACCCCCTCTTTTCCTTCCAAACATTTACTGCTTGAAATTAACAGATCACCTGGGGAATTGCCTCCAGGTCCCCGTCCCCACCGGTTATGACTATTCTTAGTCCTTGGTACTGGGCCCGTCACAGGGACTCTCGGGAAATGTTGGTTGAGTGAATGAAAGGCTGTCACCCCAGAAGGTCAGCGACCGGGGAGTCTCTTCTCGGGAGAACAGTGCGGGGTGAAAGTGTTGTAGTCACCGGCCTTTGAAGTCCGCGTTTGACACGGGCCGTCCATTTCTCTCCCACTTATCTAACATAACTCGTCCTGGTCTGCAAGGCCTCCGTGGGCCCTCTCTGTCAGATAGAAACCTAATGACCACAGACAGACTCGGACACTTTCTGGTAGCCACCTTGTGAGATGGTACGCGTCAGTCCCTTCAGAGGGCAGCTCCGTTGTTGAAATGGTGGGGAGCTATGCCGTCCTCTTTTATGCTAACTAAGGCTTTGAAATCCTGTGTGTGTTTCACATTCATTACACGTTTTGGTTTGGACTTCCCATGGTTCAGTTGGTCAGGAGCCGCACGTGGCTTTGGCGGTCATAGTGGACAGTGTAGCAGCCATATTGGGTAGCGTGGCAGCCATATTGGGTAGCATGGCAGCCATATTGGGCAGCATGGCAGCCATATTGGGCAGCATGGCGGCCATGTTGAGCCGCGTGAATCTCTATATTGGATGTTTTTTTTCAGATTCTCCTCCTTGGTGCACTGGTTTGCGTTAGCAAGGCAAGGCTTTTCTTAGGTTCTTTTTGTGGAACACCAGAGAGAGACAAACGCAATTGAAATTCTCACTCCGGGAACTGGCAGAGTCAAGGCGGAAACTGGACACCCTTGGCAGTAAACATATCTGTGAGGCCTCAAGCATGCCCGCAGCTAAAACCCTGGATCTCTAGGACCTTTTGAAGGAGTTGCTGTGCTATTTGCTCCCCCCCTAACCCCGCCGCCGCCCACCTTTTACAAATGGGAAATAGAGGTTTGAGGATTTAAGCGAATTTCAGCTAGCCCATTCTAGAACTGGGCTTTGAAATCCTGGTGTCCACCTCTCTGGACAGGTTGTCTCCGAAATGGCCTCTGCCATTGGGAAACAAACGATCCCCTGACAACATTTTGTTGGGAAATGGGGTTGGTGCAATGTACTCAATTTGTTTACTTGGTAAATGGCATTGATGGGCTGGGGGTGGGGCGCCGTTGGTGGAGTGTGACCCCTAGCATGCATGAAGCCCTGGGTTCGATCCCCAGCATAAACTAAGAGATGTGCTGTGCTGTAACCTTAGCCCTTGGGAGGTGGGGCAGGAAGACCCGGGAGTTCAGGGTTATCCTCAGCTACACAGTGAGTTTGAGGTCAGCCTGGACTACATAAGACCTGCCCTGCCCGCCTCTGGGAAAAATAATTATATTGAGCACTGACTTTGTGCCAGGAAGAGCTCTGAGGGCTATGTTTGAGGGAGGGCCTCAGCCACAGTCGGTCTCCTATCTCTTTGACTCCATCACCGAGAGATAAAGGAAGTTATGCCAGCGCAGGAGAAGATGCCAGTCTACGCTCCCACCCACCACACAGGAAGCTGGTGCTGGGAGGGACATTGTGTGGTACCAGCCGCATAAGGCTCACGGCCACCCTCCGTGACCCAGCCAGTCCTGTGGATGTGGGGTAGCTGTGGGTGCCTCCTAGGCACTGGCCTCGGAACGGAAGGCCCGGGACTCTGCATCGCAACTGGCCAGCAAGAGCGCAGCTCAGAGCCGGCGGACTTCACTGGCTGAACTGGGAACCAAGAGGGTCCTGAGCCCGGAAGTTCCCCCGCTGTCAGCCCGCCCAGAGTCACCCAGCCGCACGATGCCTGTGACTCTCACCTTCCCCAGAGTCTTACTGAACAAGAACATGAGGAAGAGAAGGACGGGTGGACGCAGCTCGTCACCACTCAGCTGCCTGCTGTGTGTGTGCAGCCATTCAGTCGGGAAGCATTTATTGAGCACCATCTGTATACTAGGAACTTTGACATGAACCCTATTACTCTCCCATGTTGGTCGAGGCCGTTAGTGTCTTCTAAGAATTCACGGTTGCACAGTTTTCGCCAAGCATGTCCCACCCTCTCCCAAAGCATGTCATGTTCGAACTCAACCGCATCGCCCTTGAGTAAAGATTAATCGGCAATATTATTAATAACCTATTGTTCGCCTTTCCCGGTGTTTAGATCGTCCAAGCTGGTGAGAAAGTGGGTCCTATTGTGTACGATTTAGCTACCCCACCCCGCCCCATTCCTGTTCTGGAGGAAATTGAGGCTTCAGAGAAGGGCAGTGACTTGTCCAAGGTCACACAGCCTGGGCACAGTGCAGCTGGCCTATGGACTCAGAGTCCTTGATGTGGGAACCGCCACTTGTGACCGCTGACACCCGCCATCTCCTATATTTTTGGTTGTGAGCCTAGCCTGTAACGGCTGAGCCATCCCTCCAGCCCAACACACCCGCCATCTCTCTGCCCGCTTGGCACAGGAAGGTAGTGGTCTCCCTTGCCGGTCCAGGGCCATGGCTGCACGTGACGCTTTCTCTTCTTTCCGAAGGTGGTGGCTCTGAGTAAGAGAAGCCAGGAAGCAGAGGCAGCACTCCTAAGTGTTTATAAGCAATTAATTGAAGCGCCAGGTAAGCAGCTCTTGGGCTCCCTAATTGAGTAATTACCACCGAGGAGCGCCGCGAACAGTGACGCACAGACCACAGTTGCTTTCTGGCGCTGGGGTCTGGGGACAGGCCAGGGCCCGAGGAGAAGCCAGACCCCTGGCAGCTGGGGCCGGGGGTGGGGTGGGGTGATTGTGTGTGTGTGTGTGTGTGTGTGTGTGTGTGTGTGTGTGTGTGACTTTAACCAACCTGGTGTGAAGTGTCCTCATGGCTCCCTCTATATTCCCCCCGGGTTTCTGCCTTTTGGGTGGGAGGGCGGCTCTGATGTGATGCCTACCTGGGTCTTCTCACCCATGTCTTGCCCCAGGGGACCCTTCCAGGGTGGCAGGGGGCAATAGAGGGAAAATGCCACCTTTTCCCACAGCCAACTTCAGAATCTCACTATTGAGATCCTGAGGGCCAACCGGAGGGCTGAGGGAAGGAAGCCTGGTCCAAAAGAACGAACACTGGGTACTTCCCCTCACAGACACGTCAGTGGGTCCACTGATGCTCGCAGTGGTCAGGGCCAACCCTGCCCTGTGTCTGTCATCAGATAAGGATTTCAAAGTCGCGCTCCATCCATCCACACTGCAATACAAGTAAGCCGTGAGAAGAGACAGTACTCATGTCTGCTATAGCAGCGTGTGATTATGTTCAAAGGAAGCATCTGGAACAGGCATCTAGTTCCACCACGAGAGAGACTACAGAGGTCAGAGGAGGGGTACAGGGCTTCCTTCCGGGTGGAGAAGATTCTAGAACTTGAGGGAGGCAAGGCAAGGGCGCTCTGTAGGTGAACTGAATGCCACTGGAGGGTTTCCTTAAACCACAGGCCACCGGCGAGACGAACATCACCTCAGGTGAACACAGCAGGCTCCCACTGCCGCAAACCGGCCACGTCTGAGGTCCCGGCGGGGCTCTGCACACAGTGCTGGCCCTTGGTCTGGGTATGGGTCATGGCAAGGTGACCCTTTTAAGGATGTTTAGCGAACAGTACTCGGTCCCTGCCATTTTCCTATTTGTTGGTCCACACCTACCCCCCTAGACATGTCAAGGCCACAAGGCCAGCCCTCCAGTAGACTGCCATGCTAAGCTTGTGGGGTGCACCAGCCAGCCATTCATTCCGATGCTTGGGGTATCCTGACTCAGGTCAGACGTGAGGCTTCAAGTTGAGCATTGTAGCTCACATCTGTGACCCCCAGCTCTCAGAAGGCTGAGGCTAGCCTGGGCTACACAGTAAGACTCCATCTCAATGGAGGAAGGAGGCTCAGTTGGTAAAATGCTTGCCTGGGTCCCATGCCTGGCACCACGTAAAATCCTGGGTGTGGTGGTGAGTGCTGGTAATCCCCGCGCTGGGGAGGCAGAGCCAGACTGATTTCGGGGGCTCAGCCTCTAGCCTGTTTGGCGGGGGCTCTGGGACACTGAGGCCTGTCTCAAAACAAAAACAAAGCAGAAGCCTCCCGAGAAAGGACCACCGGAGGCTGACTGCTGACCTCCACCCGGTACACACACGCATGCGCACCCAAGCAGGCGTGCAAGTACACACGCATGGGAGTGCACACACGCACAGAGGAAACACTTCATTTCTTGGAGACACCCTGGGACCCTCATCTTTCTGGACCCCAGGCTGTTTTACTGCCGTTGTGGGCTCAGCCGAGAGCCACATGAGCCCCCCTGAGACTGGCGTGGAACCTTCCAGAAAAATCCTCATTGCCTCTTACGCCTGTCCCCAAAGCCTGGGTACTCAGAGGTCACCGGGGAGGCTGGGGAGCCCAGCACTGACTCCACGCCTTCCCAGGCCTCCTCCCATGCAGGAGGGGAGAGGCGGGGGGAGGGAGGGGGTGCCACATCCCAGCTGTCACCCAGCTAGAAAATGAGGAGCCTTAACGGATGGAGACGCGCCACACAAACAGCCCCTTCAGGGGCACTAATTCATTTTCAAGACATTTAAGAATAACACAATGTTTTAATGATTTCTTCGGGGAATCGGGAAGACGTATTTTTGTGCTCATTAAATGTTATCCGCAGACACGAGAAGCAAATGTCAGATGCGGAGGTTTTGGGGGGCTTGGAGCGCGTGTGTGCATGCACACACACACACAAACACACACACACACACACACACACACACTTCCCACCCCTACGCAGCCGGGATGCACCGACTCTCCGTTGGTCTATGTCTTGACAGGCAAATAATTTGTCGCCGTTCCCCCCACCCAAGTCCTGATTCAACATTTCCGTCTGAATGACTGGCTGCTGCCAGCGCGAGGGCCTTGGCAGGCAGCGAGACGCGGGCTGATTGCTCAGCAACTATTTTGATAAGTGCGCAGTCCGTGTATCTGTAATTACGGAAGAAAACCGTAAATCTTTTGGATATTGTTCGCACAGATGTGGCACGAAGTGAGAAAAAAAAAAACCCAGTAAAATGTGTTAAAAGCGTAATTAATGTCATTGTTGTGAGGGAAGACTTGATTTAAACCCCTTGGCTTCAGTGTGCCGTGTTGATAGCTGATGTCTTCACTGTGCACAAGCCAAGTCGTGGGGGGACCCGGCCCAGCCTCAGCAGGAGAACTTGGGGACCCGGTGACTAGAACACAGGAAAAAGAAAAGGGGAACCGGAGAAGAGAGCCAGGGAGGCCAGGGGGGACACGTGGACATGCGACTGAGCCAACTGCAAGACAGGTGAGCGGCCCAAAAGGCTTCTTGGGGTTTTTTGGGGTTTCTAAAAGTCGGGTGCAAGATTTGAGAATCCCCTGCAGGTGTTCCTGGCTCTGCAGTGTCCTTTTGGGGGGAGACTGTTTGTGGAAGAGAAAAGGTTCCTGCTGCAGTGGCT